CGCATTCTCAAAGACTTTCTCGTTACATTTGACATACATACATCACAGTTATAAATCTGGGGGAGTGATCGAACGATTTGGTCGGTACATTAATGTACCGCCCAAGGCGTGGGTACCCATTAAAAAATAGGATCCTTAGCCCAAAAATGGCAACCTAACTGCCTTTTACGTCCCTAAAACCAATAAGAAGGAAAGGGCCCTCTCTCAGACTTAGCTCAGCTCACAGCAAGCTGCTACAAAGCAACCAAACAAACAAATACGTTCGAATCCAATGAAGGTGCTGCTTTCTCACAATAAAGGCATCAGCATTACACAAATCACTCGAATCTTCCAAAGACTGCACGTCGCATACACTTCTTCATTGTTGGTGGAGCCATATCACCGTAATTCCTTCCAAGACATTCCTTTTGACACTTACACCGGAAACGTTAGTTGTACTTTGTTACACTGTCAAGGTGCTAAGCCCAGCAGCCTTCCTTTTTTCTGCATGCATCTCATCTCACTTCATCAAATAGGAAGGTGGAGTTGCACAATCTCACTAAAATGTCAACATTGTTATACACATCCACAAGAAGGGATAATGGGTACGATATTCAGAAGGAACGGCCTGCTCCAGTGGTGAAGCTATATGGATATGGGACAAAGATGAATGGATGTATGTGAGATGGCACTTGATAGCGTGGATAGGCATACAAAATGTAGCATTCACAGCTACAAGATACGCTAGTTTCACTGAGATTACGACATTACGATTATAGACGAGCTCATGTCTTAGATACGATATAGCTTTAGCGTAGTTTAGATGTATGTGTATAAATACAAGTGTTGTCGACGACCCGACAACGATAGTCTTTTTCCACTAAATCTCTCTTGACTGTAAGTAAGACGATCTTCATGCATCCCATTTAGTAGCTTGCTATCCTTATCCATCTACGATCGATATGGGAACTGCAATGCTACATTTGCTCCCAAAAAGGATGCACAGGGTAAATTCACCAAGTTTCGCCCTTGTCTAGATCCACGGCACATCGATCGCTTAATCAGTGATGAACGATCCGGTCTTCCAAAGACCAGTGAAATTTTTCAGAAGATGCAAATGCTTCGGTGTATACCACACTCGATCTCACTAATGCATTCCATCGCTTCAAGGTACAGGACAAGGATCAACACAAGCTCAGCTTCACGTTCAATGACATCAAGCATTGTTTTGTTGGCTGTTCTTTCGGCCTCAAGGATATCAGTGAACGTTACAATGCTGTACTCAAACGCTTGTTGCATGGTCTTCCTTATGTTGCCTCCTTTGTTGACGACATCGTCATCTTTTCCAATTCTCTCGTGGAACACGCTCAACATGTTCAAACCGTTATCCACAAACTTACGAGTGTCAATCTCATCCTCAATCCTGAGAAATGTCATTTTGCTCGACGCTGTGTCTATCTTTTCGGCTATTGTGTCAGTGCTGAAGGTCGTGCTCTGGATCCACGCAAAGTAACCAATGTTGCTAAGTGGCCTACTCCTAGAACGGGTAAAGACATCCAATGCTTCCTTGGTGCTGCCCACTTCTTTGGTGAACACATCCCATGCTACTCCAACCTCTCTCATCCTCTCAACCAGTTGCGCAATACTGGTGATGTTCAAGACCTTTGGACAAGCGAACATGATCAAGCTTTCGAAAACATCAAGGCCGCTATGGAAGAAGCTCCCGTTCTTAGCCCACCCGATTTGCGTCATCCTTTTTGTGTTGCGACTGATGCATCCAAGAATGGTATCGGTGCTGTGCTTCATCAAGTCATCAACGCTCGATATCACTATATCGGTTTCATGGCTCGTTCTCTCACCAAGGCGGAGCCTAACTATTCTACCACCAAGCGTGAGTTATTGGCCATCGTATGTGAGCGTTCATTTCGAGGATCCGCACATTTCAAGATTCGAAAATGGACTAGGACATTTCAAGTACCCGGAATGTACTAGCACATTTCAAGGATTACCTAGGTCATTTCGAGTATTTCAAAATGTGCTAGCACATTTCAAGGTCATAAATCGTAGTGCATCCAGGTTGTGATATAGTGCTGGTTTCGGTGTTTTCATTATATAGCCATCGAGAACTAATGTCGTAGCATGCTATAAATAAAATTAGAAGCCTTAAGCCCTTCATCATGTGGCAAATATGGCATCCAATTGCATGCTGGAAATAGTCTTCACCCTCATCCAAGCATCCTGTTTCATGACAATGCGTTTACATGTTAATCATTGTAGCTCATATTACATTGATGAGTGTAGTAAGCAATAGGACTTAGTCAGAGGACTAAAATAGAGCATGGAAGTAAATAGAAAAAGCCCAGTCATGGTTCATGGAATGATAGCAGTGGTGTGAACGTAACCCGATCCATCAATGTCACATGTTCGGAAAGAGCCGATAACTCAGAGCTTTATTACTAATCGGCATTAGTAAGCGCGGAGAGAATTATCCCCTCAAAGCGATCAGCGGGATATGATTTGATGTACGTAAATGGAAATGGAACAAACTTTAGCATCAAAAATACCAGCAGCAATTAGCTTGTACCACTGATGCATATTTTTCATGTCGCCATATATATTGCATGCGCTTGTAAGAATGATAAAACCAGAATTACTCCCCCTACCTTTCGTGGCCTACATACTTATGTCAACATCCAATACCAGTTTTCTCGGTGCCGAACGCGGGTGGCTATCGAAAGCCAAGTTTGCCAAGCTTATGGATGACTACGTTGCGAATCCCAGGCCTAGTGATCCAAAGATGACGTCTGTTGTATTCGATGTTTGTTTATGACTATGATACATAGAAGCATAGGATAGATGTTTCCATCACACATTAGAACGTTCCCTACAAGCAGATGACACATCAACAACAACATAGAATAGTATAAATAGGTATCCTCCAAGCAACTAGAAATCATGATCATTGAATCTTTATCTCATTTTCTCATAAAGCGTATCAAAGAGTCCTAAAGGATTTTATCTTGTCCCTTTTCTTCTATCACCAAATACTTCATTTTTTCCTTTAAGTTCTCTATCTTCATGTCTCAACCAACTTCAATCAGTGGTGCTGATTCCCAAGCGCGTTCCTCACCTGAAGAGATTTCCCTTGGTTCTCCTATCTCCATGCAACCTTCATCCAACATGAGTGAATGGGATACTGCATCCATCTCGCAGTTGCTTGAAGAGCCAATCGACATGGATCTAGACCTTGGCCTGGAAGAAGCTATTAGTGCAAATGGTGTGTCGCCAAACCTCACCTTCCATGATACAAGCAACACACCAACCACCCGTGAAACAAGTGTACAAACAAGCAACCAAGCCCCCAATGGAACCATCCATAGCATACATGCAAGTTCTGAGGCGTTACTTGACAACGCAATTGGGCAGTACAAACAACAACTGGATGAGCTGATCAAGAGCTACACGCGTGCCATGGCAACAGGAGATCGTAACTACCTCAGAAGGCTGTTTTCAGATATCCACCAAACGAAGCACCTTCTCAAGTCATTTCGCAAGCTGAAGGAAGAAGAGTATGGAAGCCCCAAGCCAAAGACCACGGCCAACATCACTCAAGCAAAGTTGTCTGTAAGAGACATCCCACCATTTCAGCTCAAAGGATCTCACGTGTGGCGTACTGACAAGGAGGTGTTTGAGTCAGCTGGTCATTTTCTCTCAAGTTTCCAGAAAGTCCTGAATACTGGCAACGTGAGCAAGGATCTTGAATGGCAAAAGTGGCTACATGTGGCGTTACACCAAGACCATGATGAATGGTTTGAGTCTGAGCTGGCTGACAAGGGCTATACATGGGAACAAGCAAAGGTCGTGTTCAAGAAACGCTTCGAATCCATGGACTATATCGTCTCCAAGGCGACACAAGCCTATTCTATTACAATGAGCCCTGATGAGTCGATTCTCGATTTTGGCACAAGATTCCAAAGCTGTTACAGACAAGGAGGCCTTAAGGATGGCGAAGGGTTGGCGTTGCGTGGAGCTCTGTAACTATTTACACTCAACCTTCCGACGCTGATAGATCATGCCACAGCAAAGTTAGAAAGATCAAACCAAACATGGAGGACGTTGAGATGTCTGCAAGTGACGTGCAAATATTAAGGTTACACATGCGTGCTTTTCTGGGAAATAAATTAGCATGAAAGTTAGTTGATTTTAGTGAAAAATAATCCTCAACTTTAACAGCTTGTGTATCCTGCACGTGACCCATCCAATTGCTATCTACCCAGCGGCCATAATCTGTGGGATCGCCCCTATTGGATTGCAAAATCTGAAAACGTCACGTGCAATATGGCGTGTGTTACAAGCCGTTAAAGTAGGCAACTTCAGACATGGTACATTGTCAAAGTTAACTTTGAGCCCAGATTCTGACATTGTTTTTTATGTGACTATCATGCGCTCCTATACACTTTTTTGCATGATGTGGTGTGGAGAATCCGAATATGGTATAAAAATCGGTGTTTAAAATTTTTCATAAATTTTTCTTCTGAAAATGACAAAACATAGGCAAAAAACATTATAGTGCTGGTTTGCATTATGTCCATTAATTAAGATTTGGTAAATTTTACTCATAGTTTTGTATGAAGCACACGAATATTGTAGTACAGTAGAACAAGCCACACATGCGATTTACTAGGACAAACAGCCATTTTTACTGTGACAAGTCATACTAATGCATAGATTTTATATAGTAGCGAAGCCTTATTGCTGAAGCAAATTGATGAGTATGCTTAAAAACATTAGAAACGTTGTGTAACAGTACAAAGAGCATCATGCACGTGGTCAGTGGTATCATTGTGGTGCCATTAGATGAGCTAAGAATGATAAACCCAGTATAATATAAGTAGATGACACAGTATTTATGGAACATGTAACTTTAAAAATTAAAGTTGACTCGGGAACCTCACTCGGGATTCCTGTACCCAAAGAGCACCAATCAGCGTCCAGAGAAATCGCGCAATCGATGCAGTAGATGAGATCATCAATATTGAAAAAGCATATATATATGGTGTGTCTACCTCAATTCCCCATCTCATCGTCCATTCTTCTGGAGTATTACCTTCATCTTACGTTACCAAATACATACTATGTCTGCCCTCAGTACCTTGCCTTCCATGCTTGAGCTTGCTGCACTTACACCGAACGTTCAAGTTACTATTAGGTATATCTGTAGTTGCATTACCCTATTAGAAGAGCATCTTCTAATAGTATACTTGGTTAGTTACTTGAAGGAACATGGTTTTTTCTATGAGACCATGTCATGTGTGCATGGCACGACTATGACTTTGAACAATTTTACTCGCGATGGCTTTATGTGGCAATGCCCATCAGCAGCTTGTGGTTGTCGCCCTGGCAAAGGCTCCCGGGAGAGACGTGCTTTGAAATCGGGATCTTTTTTTTCGAATCGCAATCTGGGTGTTCATTTGGCACTTCAAGGTCTCTGGGGGTTATTGCATGGAATGTCGCAACAAACCATTACATCCATGCTCCGCACTAGTCGCATTACAGTTCGTCGACTTCCAAGGGATTACCATTTGCTTCTAGAGGCCGACCTTACTCGTGAGGACATGCATGTTGGTAAGTTTCAGGATCATTGTTGCATGCGTTTCATTATATAAGTGGCTAAGCATGTTCATAGGAGGATATACTGAAACAGGAGAGCGCATCATTGTCCAAATCGATGAGAGCAAGTTTGGAAAGCGAAAGGATAACCGTGGGCATCCAGTCGAAGGTGTTTGGGTGCTAGGTGGTGTAGAATTGACACCACAAAGAAAGATATTCCTTGCTGTTGTTCCACGCCGTGATGCTGAAACGTTAACACAAGTCATCTGTCATTTCATCAAGCCGGGTAGTTTAATCCATTCCGATGGTTGGAGTGCTTACTCTGGCCTTCGGGATACAGAAGGGATGTATTGGGTACACCAAGCAGTAAACCATCGTATCGAGTTTGTGACAGAAGAAGGTGTGCACACAAACAATATTGAAGGTACCATATACTATTGATCTTCATGGCAGCAATTGGCGTATGCTAATCAGCAAGGCTTGAATTTTTCTTCCAAAAACAGCGGCATTTCAATTCCCACTTAGAGTAATCACCTAAGTTCCCCATCATCTTTATAGCATCTTAACAAGACAAATGTGTATGTAATTTAGCAGTAAAACGTATAACAGCTGATGTTACTAGAGGTAAGATGAGTAGGCAACGATTGTTAGATAGAGACCTTATTAACATCGCTGACTCCTAGGTAAGAGGCATGTTATAATAAGACGTACGCATCTATCCAAAAGCGTTCTTTGCACAGCTATACCGGCACAGCCCTTTATTGTGCTCATTTTCAACCTTTCTTTTGATTCATATAGCCTAGCTGGGTAGAGTACTTGGGTGATTTCTCTAAGTGGGAATTGAAATGCCGCTCTTTTTGGAAGAAAAATTCAAGCCTTGCATGCTAATCATGAGTCATATATAGGCACTTGGGCTGGAATTAAGCGTGGTATCACGGAGCGCCAGCGGACAAAACAAATGACCCCATGGAAGCTTATTGAATTCATTTGGCGTCGCAAACATAGTGAGGATTGGTGGGGTGGATTATTGAGTTCCCTACGTGATGTTGCATTTGAAACCATTGATGATGGTCGTGAGGAAGGCGAACTATCCCATGGACGTGATCAGATTAGAATGCCAATGCCACGATTTACTGATTTCAGCTACTTTCAAGATGGTAAGTTTAATGGAAAAGGAGGATAGGATTAATTTTCTGATCACTATATCGTCATAGCAGACTCTTCGACCATTCCTCAACGTAGGCCAAGGTCGCCTTCCCTTAATGAAGATGATATCGAGTTTAGTGAGGATGAAGATTCTACCAGTAGCTCAGAAGTTCCATCTGATGATAGTGATGATAGTGATTATAGTGAAAGTGCATAAATATAGGCTTTATTGGTTT